GCCCGTGAGCGCAGGCGTTGTTCGGCGCGCAACTTCCGCACGGCAGGGCGACCGAAAACCGAGGATATTGCCTGCTTGAAAGTGGCCCAGTTCTCGAACTCGGATTCGTGGTTTGTATACCACAGTTTCGCCACATTAGCCAAGTAAAAGTTGACGGTGCTCAACTTAGCAGCGTCATCCCACCTGTTTGGTCCACTGACTTTTTCGTAGGACGACAGCCAGTCCTCGACGTCCTGGTCTTCGGCGCCCGAAAAGATCGGGGGTCTCGCTGGTGAACCGGGCCGGGGCAAGTAGGAGCCGCGAGAGGTGCTGTCTGTTGGGCAGCGTCAACTTGCATGGTCGACGGCAGCGTGCGGGATCGGAGTTCCAGGGTGTAGGTGATGCAGTTACCCAGCACCTCCACCAAATGTAAAGGGGGTTTATTGAAGGACTGAGCAAGCGGGTGGTAGCTCTGAAAGGAATGCAGGCGAACCCAGATGACGGTGCTTGATCGCCGATCTCGTGCCTTCTTCTTGTGCTGATGATAGCTCACCTGATGGTATCAACGTCTTTCTTCTTCACTACATTATTATTATTATTAATATTATTATTATTATTAAAGAAAATCTGTATTATGCAAGCATAGGCATATGCAAACTTCATCACTGTAGCATTTTGAGTGCCTTCCTCGTTGACGTGGGAAATAAAGTTTCATTTATCCCTGTATTCATTCATTCAATCCTAAAGTTAAAACAAATCACAGCATATCCACGAAGTGAGTGATTATTGGTGGGGAGAAGCGTTCGTCAGCCCGTCTGTGCTTTCGTTCGCCAATTCGTTCTTGCTTCCTTTTGTCCGTGCGTCTGTCTGTGTGTCCGTCCATCCGTGTGACCGTCAGTGCATCCATCAGTCCGTGCGTCCCTCCACGCATCTGTTCATCTGTATGCCTGTCCATTCGTCCGTGCGGTTGTTCCTCTGCCCGTTCGTCCGGGCGTCCACCCCTCTGCCTGTCTGTACATCCGTCAGCCCGTTCATCTATCCGTATGTCCATCCGTTCGTCTATTTAGTGAACACTCCAAGTACAGCCATCTCACATCTTTTTATCATGTATTCATCATATATAGGCGCCGCCATCCAGTGGACATTCTAAGAACTGCTCTTTCATGTATGTGCCACCGGTGGCTACATACACCATTGTAGGATGGACAGACCCACACCCTAAGGAGCTTCGCTCCTAAAAAGTAAATTACACACTAGTGTGCTGTATTAACTTGAGCATAACATGAGTCTTCTTTTTTTTTTTCTGCTGTTAAGGAACATAAAACGAGTGTTGTGGTGTCTGGAATGTAACGAATATATCTTTATTATTGCTATCTTTAACAACACTGATGGTTTCGATGTTGGAGCGATGGCTTCTCAGTGGCATGTCACAGCAGTGTAGCATCATGAGAATACAGCAACTGGCAGTGTGCTGACGGCATAATTGCTATCCGCTTGTGGTGCATGTAAACATCGATGAGTGAATCGTCCTCCAGTGATCCCGACCGTGATTTGTTCAGTTTAGGCTGCACGCAGTACGTAGAGCTCTCAAACTCGCAAACTGTCTTGCAGTGGAACGGGCGTGCAGATACTCAGCAATGAAACCTTTAAAATAAAAAATATAGTATTTTATATTTGTCGTATGACTCTGGTGTGTACAAAGCATTGACACTGCATGCCAAGGAAACAACAAGTGTGCCTTTTGCGATGTCTTCAAATCGTGTCAGTACTCCTTTGAATTGATCATCACGATCGATTTCCGAAAATTCTTCATTTTTTTGGTGGTGTAATGAAGTGTCACCTCTGATTGATTTGTGGGGTTTAACGTCCCAAAACCACGATATGATTATGAGAGACGCCGTAGTGGAGGGCTCCAGAAATTTTGACCACCTGGGGTTCTTTAACGTGCACCCAAATCTGAGCACACGGGCCTACAACATTTCCGCCTCCATCGGAAATGCAGCCGCCGCAGCCGGGATTCGAACCCGTGCCCTGCGGGTCAGCAGCCGAGTACCTTAGCCACTAGACCACCGCGGCGGGGCGAAGTGTCACCTCTCACGCTACAATCATGTTAGTACAGTGCCTACAATTAGAAAATGGCGACGACTTTTCTTATCTGGTGTTTGTTGGTAAACAGGCTTATTTCATCAGTCGCTCTTGATTGCGTGCGAGGGTACTTATCAGTACTGTTTGCTCACCAGTGCGGCTGCTGGAGGTTGACAAATTTGAAGTGGGTGACGTGGTTACATTAAACAGGAAGAGTTTGGAGACCTGAATATCATGGTGAGCCATGTAGAGCGCACATTTACGCTATTCATGGTGGCTGTGTGATTCGTCCAGAAAACTGGCATGGTGAGTGGTGGCTGTGATGTTTTAGTGATAAGTCTGGTAATAAGACTTGTTGCTACAATGTGGGCCCACACCGTGGCAACGGCCACAACGTGCACGCGTCACCTGCTTCACTGCTGTTTGGGGGCTGCTTGATCAAATACTACCCTGCTGCAAGCCTTGGTGTGCAAATGCGGCTGCTGGAGGTTGACAAATTTGAAGCGGGTGACGTGGTTACATTAAACAGGAAGAGTTTGAAGACCTGAATATCATGGTGAGCCATGTAGAGCGCACATTTACGCTATTCATGGTGGCTGTGTGATTCGTCCAGAAAACTGGCATGGTGAGTGGTGGCTGTGATGTTTTAGTGATAAGTCTGGTAATAAGACTTGTTGCTACAATGTGGGCCCACACCGTGGCAATGGCCACAACGTGCACGCGTCACCTGCTTCACTGCTGTTTGGGGGCTGCTTGATCAAATACTACCCTGCTGCAAGCCTTGGTGTGTTGTCAAGATCGCTTTGGTGGTACAGTAAAAGCTCGTGAATTCAAGTTCGTTTAATTCAAACTTACAGTTGATTGAACACCCTGGTACCAGCACAACCCAGCGTATTTGTATTGGGGAAGACTCCTGACGATTCAAGCGTGGTGGTATCCACAACGGTTAATTAGAACTGCAAGCAACCTGGTTTTCATAGATAGCTCCTCGCAGCAGTCGGCCCAGTGTGATCACAGTGTGCTCTGAAGCCAAACCCAGCTAAACTTACGAAAAGTGAAAACAGCAGAACTTCTCAGCAGATGAGATGTCGGACTCTTTATTGGAGTTCTTGGGCAAGCTGCAAACTATGGTCATGTAGTTGCGACAAAAAAAAATGACGAGTAAATGCAAATGACTGATTACTTTTCATTTCGATTACATTAACTCTGCCATGTAAATTAGCTTGTTCTGGAGTATAAATAGCTTCATATATTTTTACATTAAAGCTCGTTGCTCACATGACTGAACGTCCGTGCTTTTTTCTGGCATATCACTGACTGACCATTAGTTGTGGTCACTGTGAGAGCTCCGTAAACTGACCCGGCCCAAGTGTGTAGTAGCACTGATTTGTGATGACAAGTACAGAGGGGACTTTTATTGCTTCTGCTCGTGCAGTGTGGCACAATGTGCGTTCATTCTAGCATCTGACTGCTAACTCGAATTCCGCTTAATTTGAACAATTCTAAAGTCCCCCTTTGAGTATGAATTGACAAGCGTTTACCGTATATATCACTTGTTTCTAAGGAGCTTTGCCAAAGGGATATATTATTGACAAAGGGATGGCCATGTGCGGGGCATGTAATGAGACGTAAAGGTGACCAATGGTCCTTATTAACGAACTAAAAACAAGGTGGGCTTTGCATGAGTTTCGGTAAAGTGGGCAGGTGAGGTTTGAAACTGTTTGAAACACACAAATTGCCTTTGCTTTAAATGTTCAATTTTTATGGAAGATAGCAAAAAAATGTTACAAAAGATATATTGGGCAAATGAAAAGAATTCTTCCATGGTTTTCGCTAGATAGTTTGTGGTGCTGACATTCGTGCTGGCGGGATGTCTGCATGATGCATGTTTCCCACGCGGTCCTTTGCAAGATTGTGGTATACTTTGCACCTTTCCCTTTGGAAGTTATGTTTTGTGTTGTTCGGAGAGAGGTTTTTTTTTTTCTTTTTTGTCTAAAAGCACTGTAGCACATTGACGCTTGGCACAGTCGAATTGTCTGCAATGGCTGTGCCTTTCTGCTGCATTTCTAGCATCCGCGCTTCGCCGTGAGCACCTTCTTCGCCGATGGAGTAAGTTTTCTTCTTCTGTATTTACCGACTGTTATCACACACAATCTTGTAAGTCCACTCAAGTATTTATAAGAGGCAAAAAGTGCCAAATGGGGTAGTATACTATTCACTTCTAAGAATGGTCAGGTGGCAATGCACAGTGGTAAAAAAAATTAGCAACAGAGACATCTAATGCTTTGTATTTTAGGTGAGAAGTGTTTGGAATGCGATCGTAGAATCTCCGTCCTTTCTGGTGTCGCATGCGTCACTGTCATGTTCAGTACCGTGTGCAATCGCAGATTCGTCATCGCACATCAGATGAGGGATATCCTCTTCCTGGTCTCTATTGCTATCACTTGAGCAGTCGCCTCTAGCAGAGCTCTTGGAATATATTCATATCGAAAAAAAGAGGTGTTTGTTTGGCATAGAACATACCATTATGGCTAATTTCACCCATCCCCCCTGTCATGGGACCGAACTTCTAACCCCTTTCATGCACGGCCATTAGTATAGCTTACCACCATAAAAAAAAAATCATTAAACTTTATCACTTTGTGGTCTACGGGGTATTTTCACCAGTGAAGCCCATAAAATGCACTCTCACGTTGGGGGTGATACATCCAAGAATGAAGTGCACGTAGATTAGCATTTGCGAAACCTTTCAGTGTCCACCACGGACCATGCTGGCTCCAAGTCTGTTGCTTAGCAACAAAAAAAGCTCCCCTAGAGAACCAGCACCACCTGGTGTGTTTTCAGAGAAAACTAAAGGTAAAAAGTAAATACTTCTTTACTTAATAAACAGCTAGGTAGCACTGCAAGAAGATTGGTAGTTAACAATGCTGATCACCATGCCTCTCCAGCAGGTGTGAGTGAAGTGATGATGATTACAATTATATTCCATTGCATCTGGCCTTGAACCTGTTACGTAGAGCACAAATTAAAACGCTGATTGGGAAAGGAAAAATGAGACAAGGTTGTTACAGGTGCATTTCAGAGTACATCAGCGATTTATCAGAAGTTTGAAAGACAAAGTGAAGTTGCATAAAATTAGAACCAGCTGTAGGTTTTCTCACTGGTCCATTCCAGTATGCTGGTCTCAGACAGTAAAGGCTTGCGTGTTGTGTTGCCAAGGAGTCCTAAACGAGTGCTGACATAAAAATTTGCTTAAGTGCATAATGGTTATTTATTTTAACACCGTTTTGCAGCGTGCGGTCGCAGTATCAATTTCAAAGCATTTAGTGAGAAGGGACGCAGAGTAGTTTTCATGTAAACATGAAACTACGTGAGCACACAAAACAGTGAGCTTATGAGCACTGCATTGACTACACCTTTTAACGAAGGCTTCCTGGGTGCTGCTATAATCTTCTCTGCAATGTTGTAAATATCCATGATACTCCCCCCCCCCCCAAATACTCTGCCAAGGCAAGATCATCAGTCTTTGTACTCCCATGAAAGCCTACCCCTTCTTTCTGTTGAAGAGGTCTGCTAGGAGAGAACACTTGCAAGCATCGTGGCTACATTGGGGGTGGTTGGCTGTCTCCATGAAAACCGAAGGCGCATTTAGCGTGCAATTTGAAAACATGCATTCTAAAATTGATTTTGAGTATATAATAGGCTGTCTTACCTGTTGATATTTCGTAGATGATGCGTGTGTTCACACAAATTCATCCCACAAATTATCCCGCCTTCGAAGTTTTGTGTAGGTATTTCTTTAATCGATGATTACGTGATGGACTGGTATCAGATCATTCAATATACTATGCTTTAATCTCTATAGTCTTACATTCGTGCATCTGTTGCTGTAGCTCATAGTAGCATTGCTCACGGCACTAGAATGACCAAGAGTGTTCATCTGTGCAGGAGCCGAGTGCGGGGAGCGAGCTGGCCGCCAGCGGAGGAGCCAGCGTGTCCGCGGTGGTGGCGGCAGGGGGTGCCGTGGGGCCCCCCCAGCCGCCTCCGCCGCTGGCCCTCAAGGACGTGCAGTGTCCCATCTGCCTCAAGGTGTTCAGCCGAAAGTTCTCTCTCGAGATGCACTTCCTCATCCACCAGGGACTCAAGCCCTACAAGTGCCAGTTCTGTGGCCGTTGTTTCCGCCAGAAGGGCACCCTCATGCGCCACAAGGTATTGTTTGTTCCTCCTGGCGCAGTTATGCCTCATCAACAAATCCAGCTGCCACAGTAGCGATGGTGGTGAGATGCTCGAGGCCCTTGCACTCTGCGATGCCAGTGCGCGTTAAAAAATGCCAGATGGTAGAAATTCGTGGGGCCTCATAATTATATTGTGATTCTGGCATGAAAAAATCCAAATATTGTTATTGTCTGTCTCGTTCAGAGAAAGACTACTGACTTCATGTATGTTTGCTGAAAAAGGACAACAAACAGACGTGGTTTTTCACATACTTTAAATTAGAATGTCACTGTACTGAAAGCACCACTCCTAATGCAGAAAGGCACTTGGTAAGCAAAGAAACACCCAAAAATGCTGGGGCCACATGATGGGTGCTCTGCAGTTCAGAGGCCCAGTGCCCTACATACTCTTTTATACAAAAAGAATATTAAGCTTCTTGTTTTGTTTTCTTCTGTTCTTGATTGTGCATTACCCCGTCACGGTGGTCTACTGGCTAAGGCACTCGGCTGCTGACCCGCAAGTCGCGGGACTGAATTTCGGCTGCGGTGGCCGCATTTTCGGTGGAGGCGAAAACGCTTGAGGCCCATGTGCTTAGATTTAGGGGCAGGTTAAATAACCCCAGGTGGTCGGAATTTTCGGAGCCCTCCACTACAGCATCTCATAATCATATGGTCGTTTTGGGACATTATACCCCAACACTTATTATTATTATTGATAGTGTATTGTGCAGTGTAATGCTTCATGTGCAAACATTCTTGCATTTAAAAGAAAAACACTGAAGAAACTTGCACAAAAAGGTCATTCTTAGAGTCTGAAAATACGCGATTGAGCTACTGTGGCAGTTGTACTCCTGCCCATCGTAACATCCGAGAATTGAAAGCATTTGAAAGCAGAGGAAAGGTGCACGTGAGTTATCAGTTTTATAGCAGCTCTTCCCAATATAAACAGCAAGAAAACTATTAAAGCTAAACAAATAAATGGGCAAAACGTGAATTGAAGAATAATTAAGAAAAGTACCTTCTGCAGATACTGGATGGACAGCCTTTGGCACAGACCAATGCTATAGCCATTATGCTGTAAACAAAGCAGCTTGTGGTGTTAATTGAAAACCTGGAAGTATTTTATGTGTGCAAGCTGGTGCTTAAAAGTACACATTCATTTCATTTCGCTCAGATGAATTTGCCCCACAGCTCGCTGTCATGTCTGTGTCTTGGGTTACAGTGTTTCAGGAATGCCTTCACTGGTTGGTTACAAGACTAATACATAATGACGCGCTGTCAAGATTCAACATTATGCTCAAGCATTGAAATTTACTTCAGCAGACCTCCCTCAGCAGAGCAAGTATGCTTCTCTGCAGAATAGTTCTTAATGCATCTCTCTGTTGGTGTTTGTATAGAGGTGGTCAAAAGTTTCCAGGCACCACTGCCATTGGATCACATGTGATAGAGGCACGGAAACTTTTGACTTCCCCTGTACTTTAGAGCATCCCGGAGCTGTGATGCAATGAAGCTTACCGAAAATACCCGCGAATAATACGAACCCGAATATAATACGAGGCCAAATTTTAGAGGCACTAAATGAAAAAAGAAATTTTTACCCACATATCAAACGACATAGGAAAGGTCACCGTAAACACATTTATTGATCACACATCTGCCATGTCAATCGCTGTTGTCTTCAACTGCACTCTCCTCCGGACATTTCCTTGTCAGACAAATCGTCAAATAGGTGCTCGTTTTCTGTGCCATCAAGGGCATTAGAAATGTTGCACTTCTTGGAGGAACAACGCACAAGGTCCTCTGGGATGCTTGCCCAAGTGTCCACGATCCATTTGCATAGCGTGGCCGGTGATGCCCATTTCAGGCGCCAGGTCGGCGTCGCTGCAGGCTCACCTGAGTGCATCCACGTAGTAATGCTTAACCACATCCTTGAAGGGCTTATTTAAACAAACGTCGAGAGGTTGCAGTTGAGATGTCATCCCACCCGGGATCACGACCAGTGCCGTGCCGCAGTCGCCCAAGAGCTTCTTCACCGAATCGACCAAATAGCAGCGAAATGCATCCAGCACCAGATTGGATTGAAAAGACAGCAGGGCGCCAGGCTCCCTACACCACGCGGACTTTACCCAGTCTAGGACAAGGTCTTCATTCATACAGCCTTTATTGTGACATCTCAAGATGACATTCTTCGGCAGCTCCTCCCCTTTGGCATTGTCTTGAGCTTGAAGATGACATAAGGTAGGAGCTTGTGGCCGTCCACGTGCATGATAACATGACTGTGACACACGTTTTTTCATTTCCGGTGGTATGGACACTAACTTGCTTCGAGCCCTTCTCCTAAACTGGCGTTTGATTGGCGTTGCCGATTTGTCCCAGCTGGAAGTTCTGCGAGAGGCGCAACGTAATCACATGGCAAGATAAGAAGCTCTTCAACTACTTTAGGGAGCTTTTGAGAAATTGAGGTATGCTGGCACAGGGAAAATCCGGGTCGGCACATGTAACAGTAGATCCAGTGCTTCCTGGCTTTGAAGTCCGAGCTCAACATTCCCTTTTCTCTTGCCAGCTCCCTCGCTTTCATCTGGATCAGCTCCATGTTGACCGGCAAGTGCGCCGCTCGCTGTTCTCGAACGAACTCTGTCAGTGTGAGTTCAATCTCTGGGAAAGCCCCTTTCTTTGGACCGTGAAAGCTTTCTCACTTTCCGCTTCATGCAAAAAGCACTTCTTTCTGTCGTTGCCATCCACGGACACTTCCCTCGGTGACTCCGGACAGTCTTCTGGCTGCACTGTTGCCAATTTCCTCGGCAGCTGCGATTACCCTTTTTTTTTTTTTGAATGCAGCCAAGTACTGGTTTCTGTGCCCTGGCATGTTGCATCTTTACAAAGTGAGGCACAGAACACAGCGAGGTTCACACGCGCACACGTCCGCTGTCAAAGTACACGCTCAAAAAACTCAACAACAAAGAAAGAAATGGTGCTAGTGCTCACTTTTGCCACGCAAGGGTGCGAAGGTAATGAAGCGAAGCCGTAGCCAATTACGAAACCGAAACTTCAGGCACATCTTCCTTTTTTGAGCAAGTTTTCGTTCGTATCCGCACATAGTGCGAAATGGAAATTTGGAACGCTGATAATAAGAAAAAACCTCGTATCATACGGGGGTATTTACGATACTTCAGAAAATCTTCCATTCACAGTGCACATAAAAAAAAGTGTAGGGGTGGGCTAATTGTAAGTTCGACGCTCGAAGTGAACTTGAAGCGAGTGGTGATTTGGTCTGGTAATTCCAAATGGACTAATTCTAATATATACAATATATTATTAAGAAAAGTTAGCATTTTTGTTTTGACCCAAATGATTTGGACAATATTTTAAACAATTGTAACTAAACATGTGGGAATATTGAATGTCACTTTTTTTTTGGTTTGAACTATTGGGGAAGCAACTTTGATTAATAGCTAATTGGTATAGCATTACTATGCAAGTTATACTTGGTACATGCATTTTAAAACTTACTCTGCTAAGTGCATATAAACCCTTATAATGCACTTTAAAGCTTAAAAAAATTATTTGAGGTGAAGGTAATATGTACACTTAACCTTCAAGGGGTTCACGTCGGAGCGGATTTTTCGTATGGAACTTTCATGGCCTATTGCTCCCGTGCTGCAGTAAACCAACATTTTACAGGGTTTTGTTTGTACTCCTCAGTTCTTCAATTTCGAATACAGGTTAACACCTTTACAACAGACACTGATGTAACAGACATTTGGGTATAAGAGACACCATTGTGCATACATCAAAATAGGCGTTAATAAGAAATCACAAACATGATACTCTGCTTATTAGGACACCTCGTATAAAGGCAAGAATTGCATGGTGCATGTTTCCTACACTGAGGGTTCAACTGTACCTTCAACATTTCAAATTATCTAAACTCATGGTGAAGCAAATTCGAGTACTGTATTATTCATTCAAATAATTTAGGTGCACCAATATGCGGTCATCCCTAGAAAATTCTGTCTGCTCGAGCCATCTGCAGTATTTTACACCATGATATGGACGGTCATTTTCCTGAATCGATGCATCATTCGGCAGCCACCTGCCAAGACTGGGCCATTTTGTCAGAATGAGTATTTCCAAGGATGCGAGAGCCAGCAATTGTAGTGCAATTGGGAGAAGCATAGTTTGCACGAGGATACTACGAAGGAGTGTTTTGCATGTGGTGCCCTGCTATGCTGCATCTTCAGATTCCCAAGGGTATGTTACGACAATCAAGTTTTGGCAATACATTGACCTGGTTTTGGTGTCCCTACTTGTGTATGTGTATGGTTTTGCCCTGAAATTGTTACCCAGGGTCATGCAAGACCATTATTGGATGTTGAATAAACTTTCCAAACGCAAGTCATGAAGTGTATACAGTGAGAGCAGATAACTGGAACACCTTGGTTCTTGTTATTCTTCTTGTTCCGGGGGCTGTGGAAAACATAACATGGATTGATTACTATTTTTCTGACCAGCTCTTTCATTTTTTTCCCCCCTACTGCCCCACAACAGGCCATCCACAGTCAGACACCGTCGTACCGCTGCGGCCTGTGTGACAAGAGCTACCGCCAGAAAAATGTGTTCCTGCACCACCTCCGCAACCGGCACAAGGTGTCCACGGACGTGCTCGACCGGCGGCGCTGCCACATCAAGAACAACGCCGGCGGCGGCGTCATGGAGGCAGTCCCTGCTGCGCCGCTGCCGCCACCCTCGTTGAGCTCGGTGTGCCTGCCCCCGCTGAGTCCGCCAGGAGCCTCCGCCGGGCGAGGCCGCGCCGCCTGTGATGTTGCGCATCTCGGAGCGCCAGCAGGCCCTTCCGCCGTCCTCCGTCGTGTCCTCCATGTGGCAATGTCCCTTCTGTGCCTTCGAGAGCGCCCACGACCCCGAGGTCTGCCGCTCGCACCTGCTCCAGCACGTGGGGGAGCCAGCCGACTGCCCGCTTTGTCCCCGGCAGCTCGCGTCGCCCCAGGAGCTGGCGGCGCATCTGCGTGACTTCCATGAGAGTGCGGGATTGGCTCCCATCCTGACCAATCCAGCTGTCGGTACGTGACTTGCATCGCTCTGCAGCTGGCGTGCTCTTGTTTGAGCTGTCAGCGCTACTCTTGGCAACAAACCTAAGAACACAGTTGCAGGTAGGCAGACAGAACCTCAAGGAAGCAGGAAAATATATTCCGTTTACTTAACAGCGATTTACTAACGAATTAAAAGGGGTGCAGAATTCATGGGCGAATCAATAATATATAGAATAGATGTTTATTTCATGAGCAAGGCACACTCAGAGGAAGTTGTTCCATTTGAGCAGAAGTTTCGTTTTAAAAGTATACTTTAATTTACTGAGAGGTGATTGTACTAGCTTCAGCCAAGAGACTGCACCCATCATGGGCCTTTTCCTTTTAAAACATATTACTTAGAAGATGTACTTTCAAGAGTAGCTAACTTCCACTCATTTGTAAAAATAATAGCCAAGTTTAAACTTGTTGGTGTTATAGCATTAATTCTTTCATGATACCAGTGTATTTGCCACGGCAGTGTTTGGTGGTTGTTTACTATAGATGACTTCTTTTTTTCATGACACTTTTACATGCCTCAATTTATCCCTACATTTCTGCAGTATAAAAGGGAAAGTGAGCCCTCATTTTACTACCCACATAATTGCTGGTTCTTGTTCCTGATGTAAAACTTGCGAACACCTTCACATTAACGTTATAGTTGAAGGCACCTGAATCAATTACGTCCATAATACAATTCTAGTTTTACCTGCACTACTTCAGATGTTATGTACAGTAAAGCCTCGTTACAACGAAGTTGCTTTATTTGAATTATCGCTTTTATCAAACTTTCACGCAGTCCCAAGCCCAATGCGTGTATTTTAGACCGGATTACTCTTAACATGCGTGATAAGTGGCCGTGTGTGAAAGGCCTCAGTGAACAGTGAAGCGTGAGAAACGCGTTTGAACTGCACGCCTCTGAGACCATCGAGGAAGACGACGGGGTGAATCGGGCACGCGGTGGTGCTAGACGCTGTGGGAGGAGACCGAGAAAGAAGGGGAAGAAGATAGGCAGACGTGGCTGGCGATCAAAGAACCAGGGCACGGGAGCAGAGACCTGTCAGGTTCCGGACTTGACGTAGCAGCAGGCTCTCACCTGGGGCCAAAGCAGCTGTCCAAGCACTTGTGGCCAAACAAGACGTCCACACACCTGGGGTCGAACCAGCCTCCCGACAATCTCGGGCTTGGCGTGGTTGAAATGTCACCAGGACATTCTCGCCAGGCGAGCCACGCATCTACCACAGGAAGCCTCAGCCAGCATTCGTGAGCAGTGTGGCAGGAGCCATGCGCATTCAAGGTCAACAACCTCAGCGGTGAGTTGCGTTGCTGACCGCGACTGGCAGCTAAACTACCGCGTTACACAAGCATCGCGTGCCCTCACTCAGCATCGTCGAGCCATCAGCCCTTTTTCGGGACTCGACCTCCACGCTGCCCCCGGTGAACTCGCTCTTTGCTTCGTTTGGTTCTTGACACTTCTTGATCAATCTTAGCACATGTTCTTTTTCCCTAACCATCATTAGAGCTTCATCATTCTTTGTAAATACATATGTTTTCTTCATGCATAAACGGCCCCGTTATTGTCCCGATGACGGTCAACTCATTGTGGTTCTTTTTCACAAACACGAGCGTTTCGTTTAGAGCTCTGTCTCGCCATATACTGCTTATTGAAACATGTCGATAGCCTGCTCTGCTTAGAACAAAGTTGTGGATCTGTACTTAAAGCGGCACTAAGAGCGGGCGAGCAATCACCCACGCCGTAGAAGTGTCTGCGCGCTTTCTTTATCCACGTCCCGGGGCAAGCGGCCTTTTCTGCTCTGAGCGAGCAATGTTTGCGCTGTTGTCAGGCTAAAGCGCGCCAGTGCAGACTGTTGCAGGACGGCGGGAGAGTCTCCGCAGTGCGGATTTTAGGCCTCCTACTCTGCGCCCTACTTCGGTACTATCTAGTAAGAAGGCGCTCGAAACATGCTGGCCTGCTCCTCGCGGCTACGTCACTGGCTACACCAGTGGTGTCACGTGACCATTAGCAAAGCCTCGGTGTGCTCCCGCTGTTTTTTTACTATCTGTGGTTAGAAGACACACGTGCGCGTGTGTTGTGCTAAAATCTAGTGCGAACCCGGTGACGCTTTGTGTTCACATCGTGGGTGCTTTGAGTTGCCGTCAAGTTAACAGTGCACCGCCAGTGGCCGCACGGAAGATTCTGGCATTGGAGCAGAAAGTTCAGCTGATACATGAGGTGTAAAAAGGAGGCTGGCAGAAGTCTGAAATCGTAAGACGATTCGGAATACCGCCATCCACAATATCAACTGTTCTAAAGAGTAAGGATGTCGTATCGGACAGCTTCGAAAAGAGTTTCTCAGCCTAATGAAAGTGCAATCGTGATTCTATGTATCCTGAAGTGGAAAGAGCACTTTTCGAATGGCTGAAATACGCTAGAAGTGCAAACCTTCCTGTAAATTGGGCTGCATTGACTATAAAAGCCTGAAGCTCCAGCCGCCTAAATAGGCAAGCAAGATTTTAAGTGCAGCAACGGCTGACTTAAACGTTTCAAGAGACGGCAAGGCGTCTCTTCAAAATAGATTTTTAGTGAAAGGGCAGCCGTAGACCGCAAGGTCGTGGACAGATGGCGCAGCATATACTGAGCGCCCTACTTCAGCAGTTAGTAAGGTAGAGACATTTAAAACTTAGATGAGGCGGCATTCTTTTACAAATTGTTGCCGAAGCGCACATACACTACACCAAGCGAAACTTCATCAAGATGTAAACAAAGCAAAGAATGCGTTACAGTGCTGTTCGGTGCTAATGCGACGGGGGAGGACAAGCTTCCTTTGCTGATACTGGGGAAGTGGGCAAAGCCCCATTTTTTCCGCAACGCAACGATACCGAGAGACTGCATACACAGAAGCAACAGACGAGCTTGGATGACTGCAGTCATTTTCGAAGAGTATGTCTGCCTGCTCGATCGAAAGTTCAGGGCAAAGTGAAGGCGTGTGCTTTTTGTTATCGATGATTGCCCGAGCCATGGCACGATTGGAAACCTGCAAGTGAACACTTTGGAATTTCTACCAGCGAATAAAACCGTGATATTGCAGCCCATGGACCAAGGCATTATTGAGACAACATTAAAGTTATACTGGAAAAGTCTTTAACAATGGATGCTCGTTGCGTATGATGCCAACAAGAGATACAGCATCGACTTAGTTGGAGCAGTGCATTTACTATGCCATTCATGGAAAGAACTGGCACCTACAAATATTGCAAAACTGCCTTGCACATGCCGGATTTTTCTGGTCGCACGACGAAAGACGCTGATGAGGACTGCGAAGACTACGACGATCTCTACGAAGCTGTGAACAGTATCGTTGACGGAGATCTGGAAGGCATCTTGAATTATTCGTGATGGCTGACGCAGATGTACCCGATCATTACCCCAGCTACAGACGCTGCAATAGTCGACTTGCTGGGAGGTCCCGATGAGGAAGATCAGCTTCTAGACGAACAGCGTCACGAAATACCAACTGTGGCACGAATGCAGGAGAGCCTCCGGTGTTGCGATATAGAGTGGAGTAGGCAGACGGTGACCTCATAATTTGCCTGAACAAACTGGAGCAGGCACTCTTCGTGCCCAGTCGAAGCACCCAATGTAGACTCACTTTTTTTTCTTCGTGAATGAAGGTTTGTTTCACTGAATATCCACTTCTGCAGAGTTGTCATGGCTAATTTTGATGTACATGCTGAGCTCTTATGGGGCCGTCGCGTATATCGAATCACCACTTATATAGAATTTTTGTCGCTGTCTCGCTGACTTCGTTGTAACGGGGGTTTGCTGTACTGTGCCCAAATGTTCACTTTGTCAGCACTCAGCACATTTGTAAAACAGGACCTCTGTTAATGTGAGATTAATAGGCATTGACTGGACATTATAGAAAAAGTAATCGAAAACGGTGGCACAGCATCTTAATGTGGTTGGTCTCAACTTTGATGAGCTTTAACTTTATATACTTTGGTCAAACTTTTGGTCTCTAAGGGACAGAAAATGTATAGGATTGTATCTTAGTCGCACCGATGCACCTTTCAAAGGGAGTTCTTGAATCACTCCTATATGGTAGGCACACAATGAAAACAACAGAAACGTTAGCCTTTTATCTGAAGATTTCTGACCACTCTGATCACCGTGAAATTATCAAATTTAGTTGCTGCCCACTTGTGACTACCATGGCTCTGCAGGAACACCTTACCGTTTTCAACCCTCACGACACAGTTGACAAATGAATCGAGGCATGCTGATGTGTCCTTATGTTTTCTTTCTTATTTTGTTCACTGTTCAGCCACAGCAGGCCGTCCTCCGGATGTGACCTTCACCTGCATTCCGTGCCAGATGGAGTTCAGCAACGAAGAGGACTTTGAGTGGCACGTGCGCACGCACGTGCAGAGCGTTCTTTCCGAGCCACCCGTAGCAGCGCCGAGGGCTGCCCTGCCACCCGCCACCTCCGCGAGCGAGGGACCTCTCGACCTAACCGAGGCACGACCGGCAGCAGCACCGCCTCCTTCCGCCCCACCGCCCATCAAGTCGGAGGCCGAGACATCGCGCGGCTTTTCGTCTCCACCGCGGTTGGCATACAAGCTGCAGCCGCCACAGCAACCGCAGGTGCCGCGGCAGCAGCAGCGCCGTCAGCTCCTGTGCGTCGAGTGTGGGAAGCTGTTTGGTTCCAAGGCACTGTACCGGTACCACGCACAACTGCACCTGGATGTCCAGGGTGTAACGTTCAGGTGCCCACAGTGCCGGCGGCGGTTCTCCCGCAAGGGCGAGCTGCTGGCGCACACGCGACAGCGTCACCTGCGGCGCCTGCCGTGTCCTCGGTGCGGCCGCCAGTTCAGCTACCGGTGCTTGCAGCGGGCACACGTGGCCCGGTGCCAGGGTCCGCCACCACTCTGTCTGCCCGTGGTAGACGTGCAGGCCGCACGTGGTGCCCTCGGCGCCAGCCTCCTTGGTGTCATCCCTCTAGTTGCACCCGACGGGCAGGAGGCCAGCCCGCTGCTGGGAGTCCCCGTATTGGCGCCGGACTGCCTGCCGCTCAAGAGCCGGCTCAACGGACTGCACATCTCGGCACGCATCGGGCTCTAGTCTTCCGCCAGCTCCCCCCCACTGCTGGAGTACAAAAAAAAAGGGCCTCCACTAGGGAGAAAGAACAGACAGAAATGGGGTGACAAAAAACTCATTGCTGGCATAAATGTTTGCAGGTGACCAGATAACGTCGCAAAGAAAAAAAAAAGAAATGAGTAAGAAACAGGGCAGGAGAACATGGACTGATGGCATCCAAAGATGTCGCAGAACTAGAACTGTGTGTATCACAACAAGGTTACTATGCACTGCTGCCTCCTGGTGGTACAGACACGCATTCAGTTTCGTCGCTCGGAATGTCACTCATGTTGTATGAACAGAAGGGGGAGCATATGGGACTCAAGCTGCCAGCCTTTCTGGCATGACTCACCACCCCATCATACCACCAGGCAGTGTCACCTTGTGACACACATCGGGAGCGTTTGCAGTCGTTATCTGTTCGAGCTAAAAAGCGGGAGTTTCTTCTCACCTCATTCTGTTCTTGCTTCGTGGTCTCCGCCAAAGACTCCCACTGGGGGCCTCGTGCCAAAGGCGTCTTCCATCCTGCCCCCCCATCATAGCGCCCGTCCAGAAAAAAAAATGAGAGAGCAATAACCGCCATGGCATGCTCGAGGACGCCACTCGTCCCGGTGAAAATGAGTTTGCTGGTTCCCGCCCTGCTCTACCTCATTGTCTCGTAGCTCTAAACTGCTGTGAAGCAGATGACACAGAACGCAGCGGGCTACGTGAAAGCAGGGACAGGAACCTCCCGTGTAGATCGGCCTTGCCAGGTCTTTCGATTGTCGCCTGCTCGCATTGGTACCTCTTCAAGGGGCAGTGCAGGGCACTGTTGCTGGCTGTTTAGTACCAGGCTGTAAAAGACGGGAAGTAACATAATGCGCGAGGGTGTGGCCAAATAATGGTGAATTGAGACATGACCACAATTTTAACCCTTTCGGGAGTAGTTTGGTCCCCCAACAATCATTTATGTGGTCTTTACCATTGCTTTTCTATTGGGAATACCGCTGCATGCTGATTGTTCTACTCTCCAATTGTGTCCAGAAAGGTACAGGTCGTGCAGTGTCAGCTTTAAGAAAGGTCACACAAGATGGCTGTTGTTGAGGCAGAAAAAAAGACATCGCAAATACACGCAAACCTCAATATAACGAACACAAATATAATGAGATGTTGGTTATAACAAAGTAAATGAAAAATAGTCGTGCAATAGGTACACTGGTAGGAATAACCTTTATAAATAATTTTTGGATATAACAAATATATTTTTTTGAAAGAGTCAACTTTGTTATAACGAGGTTTTGGTGTATACCCTTTTTCTTTAGAGTGTAGCTTTGTGACAGGCTCCTTCACGCTAAACTTTCACACAGAAGGTAACATATAGCTGTAAGTTAAGTTAAACGTCACATTTATGTGAAAGACATTCCGGATCAAGTTCAAACTGCACGCATATATTAAGATGCAACGAAAGGTAGATGGGATCTGATACTTTACCTATGAAGAAAAATAACAGATGTAGTGGCTTTTCTGCTGTAGGTCTATCGAGATTTTTCAGGTGGCAAGAGAGGCATTAAAATTAATACCCTGTAGTATGATATTTGGGCTAACTGATGTAAAGTCATCTGTCTACCTGGCTTTGGGGTGGTAATGGCAGACGGTGGTGACAGAAGTAGCAGAGTAGAAATATGCGAAGATTGCTGGTTCTACATTAGCTGCATCCTGCGTTGCTTTGGCCAGCTTCAACTTTAATGGTATGAACTGTTTGGTTTTATGCGCATACCGTACATCTCTCTTTTTTTGGATGCTTGTAGTCTGCATCACCCGTGAAATTCACCTAACCACTTCAGCTCATTGGCAGCAGAGTGGTGGTGATCGGTATTTTCCAACAGTGTGCAGGGCTGTGTTAGTGGACAATTTTCTATACCTTGTTGAATTTATTTGGATGTAACTTAAAGTAAATTATTCAGCTTGCACTGATCCTTTGTTTCTCGTTACATGATGATGTTTTTTAAAGCACCAACTGGCACATTGGAACAAAATCTTAAAAATGAGTACTTTTACTGCATTTTGTTACCACCACTAAAACTTTTGCCAGTGCACATGCCTCGAATTCAGAAGAGTTGTGTGGCAGTATAGTTCTTTTTGAGCCGTGTGGGCACAAAATCACGAGGCGCCGGAATTCAAATCAGTTTCTACATGGTACTTAAGTCTCGGAGGCCACTGGTATTTTATTGAAAATTTTCCTTTGGCAACCACTGGTACTTCTCCGAATATCGTAAGTGGTCAGGTTCTGTGCTTGTGAAATGATTGTCGTCATCCGTGATTGGCAAGTATGACTGAATTTCAAATTGTCAGACTTTCTGCCTAACTTAGTGACGCTTGTGCACCAACTAGCCCGACATTGTAGTTTCCTGAAGCTTAAAGTAAGCTAATTGCTGGAAGAGCAAGCTAATGTTGTGGCACGAAGTATAGAGCATGAAGTAAACGACGTCCATATCAATCATTACAGTAGATTCGTCAGCTCTGGTTCGTTCGGAGTCGTCATTATCAACTTATGTTCTCTGCAAGGTGTAGTTTTTAGCAGAGATATCTACTATTCCTGTCTTGTACTGGCCGGTTCCGTCCCGCACCTGCAAATTTGCTAATTTCACCATGTTAAGCTGCTCTCTGCCATTGTTGGCTTTGCTGTCGTCATTTTTCGTGGCACCCATCATAGGCCATCAATTGCATGGCTTGCCCAGCTCCATTTCTGTGTTAATGTCTGCTGAAATGTAGGCCATTCTTATTACTTTTCATTTTTTTCTGCAATAGCCAACACTGTATTGCTCTCATTAACGTTCAGCCAAATGTTCGTTGCACTATAGCCTGGCATCTCAAGTTTCGGCTCCTTATTCTGGTATATTCTTAGAACGCAATGAGTGTGTGCTTTTCTTTTCGAACACTGCATGGAACATATGGTTGGTGCTATTTTCGTGAAACCTTCCAACCCATTTTCATTTTATTAAAAGCATCTTTCTGACAATATTCGGGTGTTGAAAGCGTAGGCTCGCCAAAAGAGGAAGGCAGATGCTGTTCATGTTGTGAATGCATCATTGTTTTCTGGTGTTGCTATAGTTCACTGCAAACAGAGATGCGTTTGATTGCTGATTTTGGTTGCAAAACATGAACGTCCCGAAAAATTTTGTCAGATATTCGGATGTTGGTAGTTAGCCAAAGATAATATCTTAGTCAGAAAAGAAAACTTTCATATTTCAATATGCCCAGTGTTCACATTACAGAGGAAAAGTGCTTGCACTTTCAACAAAAGCCAACTGGTTCAGCTCTCTTACAAATTATGGACAAGCATGTCACGCTGTTTTCGTCAGAGAGTTATTTTTACGTTGCAAATGACTAGTGTATTTCAAAATGCTCTAGTGTTAGTTGGACTTCTTAGCTAAGTTGGTTCATGTTTTCTGCAGTAAGTTAAGCGTGAAGGAAGAAGGCAGCCATACCGACAAAGAGATATGTAATGAGGAGTTACCAAAAAACAGTTGCCATTTAACCCAAGTCCTTTCGTATGTTTGATTATTTGCTTCAAGCTAAACTTCACGTAAAAAAGAACATCCACACAAAACTTGTGACCCAGGCATGTTAGAACAGTGTTCTCGCAGACAGAGTTAAAAAAAAACAGCTTAAAAGTATAATGGATATTACGCAATACCCGTCCATTGGTCTCTTCAACTGTCTCATGTGATTGTTGTGCTAACGCGAAATTTGGGACTGGAAAACAATAACAGCAAGCATATGTTGACGTACGAGTCTTTTCGAATCTTAACGGCGCGAGCGTGCAACTTTGCAGCCTGAGTGCACACGCCTCGCTGGTCTCTTCTTGTGCACCCGCTGCTTAGAAGGTAGTTCGAGACGAGATCGCGCATTACCAGTGGCGCTAGCAATCGCACCATGCCCCCCACTGCCTCTTGCGCCGAACTCGAGTGGCGTCCTAGCGCGCCGCGGCCAACGATTTTTTTTTGTGACTGCTTTCTTACGTTGCACGAACTGGAGAATCTCCTCAGAGAACAAATTATGTGTTTTTTTTTTCGTTTATTTTGTATGTCTCCTTTTGCTGCTTGTGTGCCTATGCACGCGTGGCATTGCAAAAGGGAGAGAAAGGAAATTTTTTGGAGGGGCATTATTTATTTCGCACACTCCTCAAGTGTCTTTATGTCGTGCAGGTTTCAACATCCTGTGGACAATAAATATATTTATATATATAGATAGATATTAAGAGAGGGGGCAAAAAGAAGCCATCCCATCTTCCCCTCGTTGGATTGGCACCATATGCTTTCCCATTTGGCCTACCAGGGAGGTCACATTCATCATCGCCAGGCCCCAAAATTTAGTGCTTGTATCACACTTTTCAAGCTGTTGGTTTTATTATTTTGTTGTTGAAATGGTGCCGCCGCACTTCTACGTGCTGTCCAGTGTTTTGGGCCTGCACCTTGGGGGGGAGCACTTGCACAAACCAGGCCGGTGTGTAGTAATGGACTTGTCTTTGACTGTTTCCGGTTAACAAAGTTTTTGTGGCGCAACGAAGCATACTCGGTCCGACCGGGGATTGTTTGGTTATGCATAATTGTTTTGTTTGGCTTGTGTTTTTTTTAATGCTTTTCTTTCTATAGGCACAGGCCAAGTTTAACAAGCCTTTTTTTTTTTTTGTAGCAATGAACCTTTTTTTTTTTTTTGGACATCTTTGCACGCCGTTATGCCACTTTACATTGTGCTGCGCTTGGTGCTGTCGACGTGTTTCGGCAGTGCACGAACGGTGCTGGCTGGGAGGGGGATACCGCCTCCCCTTCCGAGCCGTGGTCGCTTGTTGCAAGGAGTTTGGGCTGTACAGAGCGCGAGTTTGTCGTCTGCGAGGTTGTGTGTTGTCGCCGCCGGTACTTGCTTGGGTGTTTTGGCTCTGATCGTTGTGAGGGAGTGTTTTCAGCGAAAGCGCCTGAATAGGAGTTACAACCTGTACGTGACTTGCGTGAGACTGCAGTTTGCAGGCATTGTAGGTGTTGTCATTGAAAGACGCGTGACGCAGGCATGACCCAGTTCGTGAAGTTCTTGTTTATTTGCGAGAACGACTTGCCATCGACTGGCGCATTCAATTGCCTGGAATTGATTGGGGCTATTGGCTATGTCTCAAAAGGTAGTTTTCTCTAACTGCTGTTCGCAGAACTCTTGATTCATACTAGAGGTGTTGTTTGTCGACGAACGTATTCGCAGGTGCATAATTCTTACACGATTGATACAGCGCTAAGAATGAAGAAGTAAAAAACAGCGTACAAAAGGAGTGCAAAGTTCATCCTGACAATTGTTTTAATCATCGCATTGTGAACTGTTCTTGGCAGTCGTTCACTGCAAAATGCCTTCACGAATCTGGGCTGGCCTGTGTTGCCAATGTGGATGGCAGATAGACGTAGCACAATGTATAAGCTTGCATTCACATGCTTTTATAATTGCTTGCAAATTAATCGATCAAGTGATTCTGTGATGCACAAGCGACGAGTTGTTATTGACCCAATGTTTAGTATAGTTCCTCCAGAGGCCTCCTGAATTAATGGGAGGTAATTTCAAAGCACTGACGCAGAAAGGCTGAAAAAAAAAAAAAGGTTGATTTTTTTTTTTTCTGAGCTCAGGTATCTTGAAAGGCTTGATGCCGACTATTCCACCTTTGTTTTTCTTATTTCACTTTGTTTTTCTTTATACATCGGCTTGATTTGACTAGGGTCAAAAGACGTTTTTCTTTAGAGACAGTACAGGTTACCTGTACGTTTTGTGCATCACATCGTCACCGCATCAGACAGCTGCCCATCCATTCTGCAAGAGGGGTCGGGCAGCTCATTGAGGGCAGAGACATCACGATTTTACCTTGCTCAGTTTTCCAGAAGTACACATGTAATTATTAGTTAAATAATGGTTCAAGTTAACCATGCAACATGTTCATTCTAAGAGTGGTCTTCAGTTCACAAGTTGACTTGTGTAATGTAACTAGGGTGAAGTGCATAGAAGACAGCATGCGCATAAATTATTATAGTATATGCCCAGAACTTACAGTAGCATGCATGCAAATTTACGGTCTCTCACGCACAGATATCTGACCGTGCATACGCAATATGTGTGCATGTTTGAGCAGGTGTACGTGCACACTTATTGTGCACATGTGCAGATACATCTCCGATGAGGGTACAATGTGTTCATTGTCAATGGTACAAGCCTATTTCATGCGGTTTGCAAGAAAGTTGTATCTCTGCAAAGTTCGAGAATGCAGCCATTTTCACATGAAACACTTGCAACGGCCACATATGCACTAATGCAGACTACAACACGGAAATTTCACCTATGTGTGCAGGCTTCACAAGCATTTGTTCCCTTCGTAGAGCCTGCTCTTCAAAAAATTTTGACAAACTGGAATCCTTGACGCTGGAGGAGGGAGCTAAGTGAAGTATGTGTTCTGCGTAAATTACTCCAGAGCAAACATCAATGTCAGTGTCTGTCAAAAAAAAAAGTAGATTGATCATTGTTAACACCTGTCATTAGTTATGAAAACCAAATCCACTCGGCAGAAGCATCGTAACAAAAAGGAGGCTTACTCCAGTGGACGGTTGCGAATCTTGTCTTACAGCTAATGTTTGCCGGTTGTTCTTTGCGTCGTTCGCAGCCAACTAAGAGCTGAAATCCTGATGTCTCTGTCCCGTCACGTGTGCTTTGCAAGGTACAAACAAAATGGGGCCTCAGCACGTTTCGTGGGCTAAGACAATGCCTTTCAGTGTCAGGCCGGCATGAGGGCTCATCATTTTATTTTCATGCCCAACATGCAAAAGGGCAGTTAGACGAAGGGTAGTAGCACAAGCCCAGACAAGGCGAGCGAGTCGCATGTACCCTGGAATTCAGAGCATTATTTTTTACTTCGCGTCATCACTAAGGTCTGCGCTACGTGCTCGACAGTTGAGTTGATCATGTTGTATGGAGATACATGCAACCAAACTTTCATTATTATCACCACGAACTGCATGTCATCATGCCATCCTGAATCGTATTGCACCTTATGAAAAATATAGTGACTTCATGTTCGTTCTTCTATTTTTTTTTTTTTAGCTTCTGAGGCATCTGTATTCCTGACTTCATTTTTATGATCGAGGTTTTAGTCAACGCAACACCCAGAATTATGGCTTATTGAAGTGAGTGAGTGGATCCTATTTACAATGCTGCATTTTTAATTAAGCCGAATGTGCTGGATGAGTTGGCTTTGTTTGTTTCAAGGAGGTATGAAAAAAAATTGCTAGAGTAGAAAATATTACTCAAGAGTGAAGCCATGCCATCTAAAACATGGCATTGCAGCCACTATCTTGTTAAGGGCATAATAAACTCGGCATTCAACAAAGGGGGAGCGTTTTCCTTGCACGCCCGATGAGTTTAACTTTTCCGTGGCAACTTTTTCGCTCAGAGTTTGTCTTTGTGTCCCTAGTGTTCCTTAGTAAGCCTAGAAGTTTTGGCAAATTTTATTCGAAATCAAGTCACCAATACACATCTTAATGTGTTGCTTTCGTTGGGAACAACTTTCTTTTATTCTATGAGTAATGTGGCACAGAAATAAAGTAGATCACCATTAAAAGGGAGTATGATTTCCAATATCTTTGGAGCGTGAAAGCTGGCTTCACTGTTGCCGTCAAAGCTTTGCGAGAGTGTCCACTCCAAAATTTTATTTGATTTAACCTTACAAAGCGACCAAAGTTTTGAAACATGCTGTATTGGAGGTTTCCGCATAACAAGCTGGGTTTCTTTAACTTGAACCGGCATTGCACAGCACAGAAGTCTCTAGCATTTCGCCTCCATTGAAATGTGGGTTGAATCGGTGGCTTTTGGGTCAGCAGCTGAGCACCGTTACCTATGAGCAAGCCACCGGAGCAGCTCATTTAAAGATTAGACAAACCTATATCCAAAGAAGGCCGAGTTTCCGTTAAAGTTTTGCTACACAAATGAAGATCTTGGCTAGTCCAGGTTTGCTGGAAATCACTGTTTGCAAATGTTGAAATGTGTTGAGTCCAATGATAGGTCTGATCTGAAGACAGCATTTTTTGTTGCGTTCCGCTGGAGAGCTTGTTTTCCCACTTGTTGATTTAATTTGTATGCTTCACTCCAACTCATTCCCCGTTTTTCGAAGCAGCATTGAAGCTTAGTTTGTAGCCATAACTGGGGGTCCACTTTGGGAGGTAGAGCTCGTCGCTATATAGGGCTTACGGATATGTTGAGGCACAATGTACTTTCATTTCATTTACAAGACAGCTGCATTTGCTGTGCTGTAAACTTACATTTTTTTTTTTTTTTTGCAGCTCAAGTTTTGCTCTGCGATTCAGGTCGCAACCCTTGACGACAGTCGGGAGTTAGCCTCTTGACCTCCTTTCCTCGTAGATATTAGGAAACCACAATCTGGTGTTGTCTCTTGTTGCATCTCTCTTAGCGTTGGAAAGCCGAGAAAATTTAGTGATAGATTAGCTTTCTGGCTTTAGGTTCATAGAGGGAGGTTGTTAAGATTAATGCTTTGTACTGATGTCACTGACTGAGCTGTCTTTTTCTCACTAGAATTCTTAAGTCAGCTTGCAGGACCTTTCAAATAGCCTGTGCTGCTGTGTGGGCAATGTGTACAGGTCCAGCTTTGAATTCTTTACCTCCCCAGCAATCTGAGGCTAGAATTTTCAGTTTAATCAGACTGTGGTAGCAATTATCAAATAGATTTTCTTTAAATACATACCTGCTTTAGGCAATGCCTATGCGTGAGGCATAAGTTTTAAGACTCTGAGCCAAAGAATTACTACGAAAGAAAGGTCATGCTTTTTCGCTTGCGCTTTGACACTTGCCTTGACTAGCAGGTGCCAAAGGTTTTTATCAGCAGAGTGATCCACCATAGCTTAAGAATTATCTTCTGCGTAGTCTTCCATGGACGAGGTTCGCTCAGCTTGTACTTATCTGTGCCTTTGTTAGATGACAGAATGACCATATAAATAAAGATATTTAATTTTATTGATTTAAATGAATTATATTACTAAGCAGCATGTGTATCGCGTGCAACGTGACAGGAGAAAAACGATTTGCTCTTGAAGGAATAGCTGGAAAAGCGTTCCTCGTTTCCGTTCTGAGACTTAGTCAGCCACACTAAGCTTTACACCTTGTACCTGCAATTAATAATGAATATTTTACCGGATTATAGTTGTAAAATAATTATATTTGAAGTATTTTATAGTGAGGTTTGTTAGTTATTTAAGCAATGCCAGTCATAAATCTCCACTTGTCTGTGCTTGCTCTAGTGCTAGAAAGTTTACATTTGGATTCAGCGCAACTTGCGCAGCATAGTTGAACTGTGCCGAGAAGGAAATCGCTCTGAAACAGGAGTGGGTGCTGTACACGACAGTTGCATGCAACAAACTTGCGACTGGTCAGGATTCGCTGCCTTGTCTGGACACGAGTGCGCTCCTCGTCGTCAACTAAGGGGTTGGGGGTCTTTGTTTCATGCCCTAAAAAACACCATCTGCGCTTTCTAGTCTAACAAGAGTGTTCAGCCACAAATGAGGCATCGCACACAGACACACACACACACACACACCTTTTGCATGTGCCTGCACCCACGCATGCTACACATACCACACACACGCACATATGCATGAACCAAAACTGACCAAGTACCTGAGAGATTGGCACCCGGGCAGTGTTCGGCAAGCGTTCCGGTGAAATGAAGCCTGTTGTATTGTTGTCTGTTTTTATATGTCCTGCTGCTACTCGCTGTTGTGAAGGGGAGGCAATCTTGTCGTGTGAGTTTTGGGGTGGGGTAAGGGGTGGGGATCACAAGTACGTCGTGTTTGGGGGTGCCGAAGAGCCAAAATCATGCCTTGTTCTGTAATACTCCTCTTCTGATGAAGCTGTTTGTTCACTCGATGTGTCTGGTGGTGTTAGGAGAGATGTTCTCAGGGTCATAACAATTTGCTTGTTTCTCGCGCACTCCACAGGAGTCGTGCGAAGCAGAGGCATTTTTTTTTTAACTTGTCACGTACGACGACGACGATGCCCACTTTGTTGTACATAGGAGGATTGGTATATATTTATTGTTGCCACACACGTATACTGTGTTTTTATCTTCTTTCTTTTCTCTTAACATTTCTTTCAGAAACACACAAACAATAGCTTTGCCTTGTTTAAGGACATTTTCTTCACTCGAACAACTCATTCCTATGAATACTTTTTTTTGTTGCTCGTGCTTTTTACATTTGCTCCACCCCTTCCTTCATGAAAAAAAAAATAGTTATTTTTTACCATACTCGTGTTTTTGCATACTTGTTTCGTAAGAAAAAAAATGAGATATATTGTATACTTGAAGTTATATATATATATATTATATACATGCTATATTATACACACACGTTTTACCACAATCGTGTTTGATACCATGGTATAGATTTACATGAAAATGATGTGCATTTTTGGAGTGTGTGTGTATGTACACATATATTTTTTGTATGGCAACATCAGTCCCCAGCTGTGTGGGAAAGCTTTTTAACAAGTGTTGTACAAGGAGGCATGTGGCGAAGCGCCGACAGAACAAATAACAGGAATAAAGCATTCGCTCAACAGCATCATTATCAACCCTTGTTGCAATTACTTCGGCTGATATACTTCACACCTTGATATGTGGGATGTTCACTTGCACAGGTAGTAGTCAATATGGCAGACGCGACATTTGTCATTATGTAGTTACGCAAGACGTGCCATACTCTCGTGATAAAATTAATGCTAGAGAGCATTGCCGAATCAGTTTATGCTCAAAGTGTATTCATTCAAACTTTCAGAGTGTCTTTCTTGACTAAGAAAAGTCTGCTTGTCGGAATGTTGACTCTAGTGACACCCCTATTCAAGACTTTTTCATTCTTTTAACGCTTTGTAATTTACTGGCTGTTAGAAGGTATGGCTGTGAGAAGAGAACAAGACATACGAAGTGAAAATTTCCTAGTGCCATAGGCACTTGTATAACACTGCTTATTATGAATATCTGTACTTCAGTAGCCTCAACTTGTACTTGGGCACATGCAGCTTAAGATGACATGACACAGATTTACCAAGAATATGAACTGCATCTCCAGTGTTCCCCCATGAAACTATTTGTCAATTCGCCACTTCCCCATGCAGTCATAGTTAATGTGCAGTTTCGCTGCTACTTTTGGTATGTAATCATAATGCACTTTTGCTTTAAATCGCCATACGTATGTTAACATTTGAGAACTGAAATGTGAAGGGGGAGACAAGACCCACATGCTGCCATTGGTAATGAAATAAATGTCAATTTCGCTGCAAGTGCGTTGTAATGATAACGATAGCAACAAGTTAGTGTGTTATACATAGTAAAGCTAGCAGCTAACCCCTCTAGAATGAGGCCAGGTGCAGCTCAAAACGCGTGTGCTAGGAAACGGGCCGAGTACAGCGAACGATACAGCGAACGAAGCGGTCTTAGTGTTCTTTATGGCCTCAACGCAAACTGTGCATACATAAGAGGAACGAACCGCCAGCTGATCTCTTGTAAAGGGATGCTGTGGGCGACCACTCCTGGCTGATGAAACTACGCATTTCCTGCTGGAGTAAAGTAGCCCTTTCTGCGGCACCCCACCGAGAGCATTTCAGGTGTCGAAGATGGTCGGCTTCTCTGCTTGAGCTAAGTTCGACGGCAGCAAGCGCGTGCTCTTTCACTCGCGTTCAGAACGTACGTAGCGCGGGCTGATGTTGATTGATATGTGGGGCTTAACGTCCCAAAACCGCCATATGATTATGAGAGACGCCGTAGTGGAGGGCTCCGGAAGTGTTGACCACCTGGGGTTCTTTAACGTGCACCCCCAGTTAAAAAAAGCAATTGAAACCAATTGGAAAATTTCCACCTGGTCCAATTGGTTCCAATTGTGAATTAGTACACAATTGAGCCAATTGGACCAATTGGTTTTACACCAATTGGTTTTACACCAATTGGTATAGAACCAATTGGTCCAATTGGTTGTGCACCAATTGGCCCAACACCAATTGGACCAATTGTGTATAATTCACAAATGGAATCAATTGGTTTTATGCCAATTGGCTCAAATGGTATAGTATGGCATGACCAATTGGCATCTAACCAATTGGACCAATTGTTTATATGCCAATTGGCTCAAATGGTACAGGACGTATTGATTAATGAATGCATGTAGACACCTTTGACAAAAATGCAATTATTGTAAAACAGAACATCTTTTATTTACAAACATAATATGCGGTATCTTGCCATGCAGGTCCAGCACTTTGCTACAGCCACATTGGTTAGTCACGCTGCACCCTGCAGAAACAATAAACAAACAGCATTTGCATGAAGGCTAGTTTCATTACAGTTAAAAAAAAAGTGGCTCACAATGAAAAGTGGAATTAAATGCACTTTAGGTTCAATACACATTGAAGTAGAGCCCCAACTTATCAAGCCAAAATTTGTTTACTACTGAAGTTAAAAAAATTGCAAAACAAAATTGCGGTTGGTGTACCTCTTTGCCATCTTGTCGATGTCTGCGATTTTCTCTCCAACATAATGGTTCATTCGCTTCATGAGCGTTTGGACCGCACTGTCTGGGAAACCTTGCTTTTCCAAGCGACGCTTGTAGCAGGCTGTTAAAAAAAGGCATTTAAACATATATAAGATACACAGGTATAATTATTAACATAAAGCTAAATGAATCCATTATAGAATAAAAAATACGCTTTGTTTTTAGGCAGCTGCACATGAAAATTTTAGGTAGCATCTTCAGTGGTGTCAAAATGGCATCTCATAGCAGAAAAGATATCAAAAGCACTCATTATTACTTCGGTAGCAAAGCATTTTGGATATAAATGACACAAAAACAATGCAGAATATAGAACTAATGAATCTATTCATGAAGTTATCGTGAGAAATTTTTTAAAACAGATTTTAAATGTAATATCAGTTAACCATCTATGAAATTCACCATTATGTATTTTCGCCTCATAAACTGCATACATCATGAGTGATACTATTAAGAAATGTCCCAGAAGAATAGACCTCTACCAGGGTACATCACAGTGCGACGTCGCTAGCGCACGTGGAAGGTGTGGTTGGCGAAGCATTACCTCTGGTGCCTCAGTGCAGTACGGTCGTGCGATGTTTGGGGAAAGTTTTTTTCTTTACTTTCTTTTTTCAAAGCCTAACTTCATGTTACAATGGCGACATCAGCTGTAGTACATGTCAGTGAACATCTAGCTGTGTGGTAAACTGCGTGATGAAATATTTGCCACGCTGGCTGTTTATCTTGAAGAAGTGAACACACGTGGTGGCCTGTGCGAGGAAAAGCGGCATCGTCTTGGAAAATGTGCACTCTATTGTGGAGTGTAGTGTACGTTAAAAGGCATCAACAATATCGGTTCATCTTGACATCTGCAAAGGTGAACCTGAGAAGATTGTGTGTGGTACGTGCAGGGTGAATAACGATGTGGCTTGTTTGCAAAAACATAGGCGCTTGTTTTGGGCTGGTGGCAGCGACCGGTTGTCTACAGAACTTGATTCAAGATTTTAGTGAAGGTAAATATGCATTTGACACGGTCATCTGCGAGTCTGTACATCTCAGCATTTGCGCTCTGTGCAGGAAAAAAATTGCATGATCACCGGGCTGAAAGATACCACTGGTAAAGCTAAATATACGCTTCGCCCCAGCGAGTACACAAACCCAATAAAGGTATAACTCGTTTTATCAGAGGCCTCATATGACTTCATGTAAAAGGCAGAGATTCTTGTTTCACATATACTTAGTACCTTTACTGCTCGATATTCATGAAGTGAAGATGCACACTAGAAGTTTGTGTGTTAGGTCTTAAGGGAACAATGTAAGTATGCGAATACCTTGTATGCATCAGATGCAGTGATGTGACTGTGCAAAAGATAACGTATGTAATTAAGTTAAAGAGTTTAAAAATGCATAAATTTTCAGAGGGGTATGAGGAATGTAGCTGACAACTTTGCTTTAATTTTCACAAGGATTTGTTAACCTCAGCCGAACACACGACAAAGTGTTTTCTTGTTTGTTCTTGTTTCTTTTCCCATTCATCTTCGGTCAGAATTTTGCGGCACGAGTGAGAATTTTCTTCATAACCTCTCGCACAGCAGCTCAAAACCTTGCTGCAGCCAATGCTGTGCCTCGTTTAAAACTGCGATGCACATGTCGCAACGAAAATTGGGTACATTTAGGTCTATACCATTACAATATTTCTCAAAGCATCCGTCACCGTGAATACGTTTGCTTTTGAAGAGGAAAAATGTTTTTTTAATGGCTGCCATCTATGGCAGCCTACAACAATTCACCAAAATTTCAGCCTGACGAATGCAGACACATGCAGCCCTGCTAGTATGTAGAAAGATCCCGCTAGCGGAACTTTCTTGTCAACCAGCCCCAGCGCCGTAGGAAGGAATGGTGGGCACAGTGCTCATAGTGACGTCACATTATTTGCAAACAGGGAGAGGTATCTATAAAAACACCAGATCTGTGCGGAAGGCACAGCACAGTCACAGCGAAAGCTAGAAGAGCGACCTTTCAGAGCCTTTTCGAAACACTCATTGGTAACTAGTACAAGCACACTTGCTTGATACCCACTAGGTCATTATTAATAAATTTATTTGGGTAGTAGGCCAGCATTTGCTATGCTGTTTTTCGTCATTCTTCTGAGAAGCGTGGTATCCGCTAAACACTTGCAAGGAATTTTGTGCCAATTTATGCAGTGACTGACAACGATGAGGAATTATGCCTAAAATGGGTATGCGCCACAGTTAATAGCTCAACAAAAACAAGATTTTGTAATGGGTTGGAGCATTGGATGACCCACTTACTACGCTGTTCACATTGTGCGACAACTGCTTGTTCTTTCGCTGTTTTAAAACGCTTTATAAGTCGTATTAACGCAATTGCTTTCTCGACATCAAGCCTGCCTAAGGCAAGTTTGCCAACAAGTCCCAAGCTCCGGCGTGGCTCAGTGGCAGAATACTGGGCTGGCACCCAGTGGACCAGAGTTCGAGCCCCACTGTGTCATTAGTTTTTTTCGCTATGTTCGCGCAAGACCTGAGTTGTGATCTCACAACAGCTTTCGCTGTAATATATGTGCATAGTACTGGGTCTTGGTTGAACTTCAGCACTGTAAACTGTGCAAAGTGAGGTAACTTAGTTATTGGTGCTTCATTAGAACACCATTTATGAGCTCACACACTGACGAAATGGGATATATGTTGATACTCACTTCGCATGACAGACACCTTCCATGGTGTCAATGGATCCTTTCTCGGCCGATTTGGGAAACGAGGACAATGCTTGCCTGCAGAACATTATACATTAAGCAATTTTAAACACTGCATTACTGGCAGTTCAAAGTACTGGAAATTACCTTGCAATGATCGTCCTTGTAGCTGAGCTGGATCCCAGATTGTCACCAGCAGATCCTTAATGAACAAAGAATCTTTGTCCCGAGCCTGCACACGACGCCATGTTTCCAGCGGAATTCGCAGCCCTTGTCCAATGTCAACCTGCAGAAAATAAAAGCAGCAGTAACACATGAGTGCCATTCACAATGCTTAAATTTAATGTACCATATATAAAGGTTTTCAATTGAGCAGAACTATTCTGTGTGAAGTTCACAAATAAACGCATGTAATTGAACAACAGCTTCTTGCTTATCACATAAAACTAATGCATGCTTTCCTTCAAATTTCACGAAGAAACACTGCAGCTGAGTCATTGAAGCCTTAGTGGTTTACAGTGCACTAGGGCAATGATACACCATGGTTTGTGGGCTGTAACTGGAACATGAGGAAGTGAACGGATCACTTGCAAAGAAAAACATACACCTGTCAAAGAACTAGGCCAGGCTTATGAGCTGAGGATTTCAAGTGTAGTTACTATATGATTGCTGTCATTATGTAGGCACTAAGCACAGCTTTTTCTAAAATAAAACTGAGTCTCAAACATCTCACCAAGCTACCGCCTGATGCACCAGCTTGCGCCTTCAAGGGAGAATGTGGGCACTCTCTGGTGGGTGATGAAGGGGGGGATGGTGTGCTGCTAACTGCTGGAAGAGTGATGTCCATGCTGTGTGGCAGAGGGGTGCCAGGGCTGTGGGACTGAGCAGTAGGCTCTGCACTTTTGTATCTACTGGAGCCTACATGAAAATTGCACATCAGAAACTGAAGTGAACCAACTAACATTGGAACATGGTTATTCGCTTAGAAGGTACATTTGCTACATATAGATGGGGACGAAGGAAGGACACAAGACATAGCGCTAAACTACATCTGATTATTCATTTTTGATGGAACGACCTATATGTACCAAACATGCCAATAACAGCAGTCTTAGTCCAAGCACTAGCAAAGAATAAAGTAAGCAAACTACACTTACCTTGCACACTGCCTATGGCTTATCAATGTTCTGAAATTCTACCTCATTTCTTAAGAGCGTTGTGGAAGCAAAGCTTTCAGGACACTTGTCAGAAGTGTATGAAATTGATTGCAGGAAAGATGCTAAGGCGCATTGCCGGGCTAGTTGGTTGGGGTTCATCATTTATATGGGTATAGCGCACCACCACAAGGACATAAAAAGATCTGCTGTATCTTAACATGATCTTTTCCAGGTTTTACCGGTCTACTGTTATTGTATAAATAGCATGTGTGATCGCAAATGAAACAGTAGTTGCAAGTTAGTGCTAAGTGTGTGTCTCTGTGTCCTTGTGGTGGTGCGCTATACCCATATAATCGCAGGAAAGAAAATGGTGTGAGGACCCCTTCCACGACACCTAAGAATGGACATAGAATTTTTGAACGCTGATAAGCCATAGGCAGTGTGTAAAATGGTGTGTTGTTTTGTAAAACTTTTTTGATGATGCTTGGCCAAAGAGTGCTGTCATAGGCTATTTACGTCCATATAATTTTGCTCCATCAGAAATTAAGCATCAGTTGTAGTTCAGCACTATATGCCTCGTGAGTTCATTCTTCGTCCCCGTGTATATGCGCAGTAGAGTTTAATGATGCAATACCAACTAGCCCAACAAAGCATCCTCGTGAACTTAACTTGCTAAATCATTCTTACACTCTTGTTTACAGAATATTCCTTCTACCAAGAGTGTGTGCCACCACTTCATATATAATATACCAATTAGACTTGCCTTCTCTGATCTTGACTAGGAGCTCCTTTTGGAGATCTCTGTTCAGCCCTCGAAGCTCTACGAGTTCCTCGTTCTGAGCATCTATTTTTTTTTGCATTTCTGCAACTTTTTTTTGGAGCTCATTCAGCTCAGCCTCCTGTGAGGGTGAGACCTTCACAGCTTTTTTCTTTTTTTGTAGAATTTTTAAAAGCCGCTCCCTACTCTCGGAGGGCTTGTCTTGTTCCTAAAAAATAAAACATGAGCAATAAAATACTGGGCAATATTTTCTTTTATGCTTGGTCAAGCAATTACATATAGGGTGAACCATACCTTCGATGGTGCAACATTGCTGTCGCCATCGCTGGCTTGATCAGAATCTTCAATTAGGGGCCTCACCCGCACCCTTTTTCGGGACACAATTTCCTTCAAGTCTTGTTCCGACTCTGGAATACACAACATTCTATTACAGTACAAGTCGTAAGCTAGAAAAACGGTGTAACTGAAGACTACCATAAAAGCAACATGGCCCAAGAGAGCAATATGATTGTAGCAAGAAATGTTAACCTAGAAAAACGTATCTGTCTCAACAGATTGTGATACATACATATAAAGGTTAAAGCTCTTTACATAAGCAAATGACACAAGCTCACGTGTTTGAAAAGGCAAACTAAAAGATTGGTGAACCATCAAGAAATATATTCATGTGTGCACATAATTTCGCGTGTACATTCGAATTTAATGGCTATATATCTGAATCAATTAAATGCTTGATGTCGTTTGATCACATAAATGACCACAGTGCACGCCATATTTACCTGGGTATATGACAAAGAGTGGGTGTACACGTGAGTGTACGCAAATATAATTAGGAAGTTCTACAATTTGTGCGTTCAAAGAAACCTAGAGCGCCTAGCTCACTTACGTTTTTTCATGCATCTGCCTGTTCTAGCCCCCTACATTAAACGGGGCACGTAATTTTAATTTTGCCGAATTGCACGAACTTCGATGAAAATCGCCCTGCACTGACGTATACACGATCGATTTATCGCACGTCACATCGTTGCTGCGTGGAGCACGAAACAATCGAACTAATTCAATGCAGCCTTAAAAATGCACAAACTTACCTCCAACCCGCAAAATTCTTGCGCGGTAGTAGGCACATGTGCCGGTGGAATCGGTCCATTTGACCATAAAGAAGGCTGTCGAATAATCCTCATTCGGATTGAAATTTTTTATGTCTTCCACTGGCACGATTGCCAAATGTTTGTCGTCCTGGTATCGAACGTAAGCGTGAGTAATCATCGCTGCAACGTTCCGATTCCAACACCGCAGACAATCACGCACAGAACACACTACACACGTTCTCGAGCAGTACGATGCCACCATTACCACGTTTTTTTTCCGAAAAGCTGCTGCAAGCTCATTGATGTTGATGCTAGTTAGGCCGTCCTGAAGTGACAAGGATGGCGCCCAGCTAGAACTAAAAAAGCAAAATAAGTTAGACACTGACACTGATGCTAAAATAAAATGTTATTGCTGTTGAAAAATAGTTTGATAAACTTATTATTTGGCATTCAAATCCCCCATAAATAAAAAAGTTACGCCAATTTTGAGGCCATTGTTGAGCTTGTTGGCTCGTTGCACGCAGCAGCGCGGCCATGGAGGCCTCCGTGAGCGCGGCAGACGTCGAAAACAATTTTTTTCGGCTTTTGTGACGTGATAAATGCCAAGAAAAAAACGTTTTCTTTTTTAGGTTGCGTTCACTGACCACTTGCGGTGAGCTATTGTAAACAAACGTATGTTTGGTATGTTTGCGGCCGCAGGACTGTGGTAGCGTGGTCGTTCTGTGGCGTGGGTCGGTGTTCTGGCAAGTGTTCTGTGGGTCGGTCAATCTAGCGTGTAGAGCAAGTGGTGGTCAGAGCGCATTCAAGTTTTACACATAGACGAGCGCATAGCGGTCACCGCCACATATTAGCAAGATGGAACCGCAGAAGAAACGGAAAAAGCGCGGAAGGTATAAAAAGTATCTGAATCCAAGCAGTGTATGCAGTGTGCCCAGATCAACAGACTCATCAGCTAGGCTGCGGCTCGCTAAAACTGTAAGTAAACTTCTTTAATTGTCTCGACTCTATCAGATTATCGGCAAAAAATGTCCTTGTTAAATCTCAATAATCTTGCCGCGCAGGAATCCATAAAGGATGGCTCACACAATAAAAGTTCGGATGAAGGTCCGCTGGATTCGCGGCCGCCCGTCGGTCAAGCGGAGTACACGGTACCGCAAAATGCGACATCGATGGCCGCTGCGGTGTTGGCGGCGGACAGTGCTGTGCAGCATGCGAATAATGACGACGATGGGCAGCGATTCCGATGGAGCGAGCAGCCTATGTTCTAGAACGCTGGTACGTAGATGGATGCCTTCGTCTCAAATATTGTACGCAGTGCGTTGAATGTAACAAGTACGTACGTTTGTGTTGGTGCGTGCACGCGTGCTGGAAAGTGCACCTACAAACATAATTTCCTAAAGCATTGGCTTAATGATTTCGAGAATGCGTGCTCAATTTAATTAAGAGGCACAGTTAAATTTAATTAGAGAAACTGTTGAGCCTCATTTACCACAACGTTACGATTGAAATCTTGGGTCCTTTTCTTGGAGCTGGTTTTCATAAAAGAAAAAGAAGCACGCGCGGGGGGGGGGGGGCGCAACATTTGTTTTACAGAGAGTTACAGTATATATCCTTTAGTCGTGTAAAAATTTGCAAGAGACAAATATGTTTTTAGTATATTCTTTGCTATTTATTTTTATGATTTATCTAAATGCATTTTTTTTTTTGTCTAGACATCTCCGCAGCCAGCCATTCCGGGTGATCGAAGTGAACGACAGAGAGATCTGCAAGATATAGATGATGGAGGTGATTACAGTGGAGACTGTGCCGCCACTGTGTATGATCCATGTGGTGCAAATCATTTCATCAGTGATGATGACAACACAGATTTTGGCAGTTGTGATGACACAACTGACCCTACAACAATGGTATGCTTCCACATAATAATTGTATTCATGTAAACCTTACAATGAATTTTTTCTGCAGGGCACTCAACATGATACTGTGGACAGCGTGACTCGGGGCGTGTTTCTATCTGAATGTAACAGTGAAGTGTGTGATGTGGCTGATGGCATAGACAGTGAGGGACCTTTCAATGGAAACTTGTCAACCGATGCCGACACAAACAGGACACAACTTGGAGATTTGTTTCAGGAGGTCCTGAATGAAAAGATTGTCGTTTCAAAAGGCGAGATGCTTTTGATGATATTTAAACATGCCATAAAAAGTAATTTGTCTTTTACAGCAATGGTGAGTTTGATTGAAATGGTCAACATGTTTTTTGAACGACCTGTTCTGCCACATTCACGATACCAGCTTGGCAAGCTTTTTTCAGAGCATGGCACCGAGATGAGTTTTCATTTCATTTGTGGTAAATGTTCGACAGTGCACGAGGTCGCACAATCCTATGCTCAGTCGAGTCATTGTCAAAAATGTGGCTGGGCTCTAGCTTCCTCAGTAAACAGCGAATCATTTTTTGTCCTATTGGATGTCCCCTCTCAACTTCGAAAGGTTTTAAAGAATTGCAGCTTTCTTGACCTGACAAAGCCCTTAAGTCAAAGCAGTAACCTTTCTGATATTTGTGATGGAGAATTATATCGCAAATTTGTTTCTGCTACAGTAGACGAAGGGCACAGGATTAGCTTTACATTAAATGCAGATGGCACACCACTATTTTCATCCAGCAACACTTCAATTTGGCCTATACAGCTATACACGAGCCATAACTACTCGTCAAAAAAAAAGACTAACAGTTCTGTCGTACGCCTTGCTGACCAATCATATGCGGTTATAGAAACAATTCTTATGAAACAAGGCGAAGTGTACATTGCAGCCAGGCGCCTCCACTGCTCAGCAGTAAAATATAGCACCTTAGTGATGGAACATTTGGTGAAGGTTCAAAGAGAAGCAGCAACAACAACTCTTGTATCAGCATCAGAAATTTTCAGTGTTTGTGCACACATGCAAGTAGGCCCGAACATATTCATTTCACCCGTGCCTAGCTCGTTCACAATGTAAATTTTCAAATCTGGTGTGCAATTCTAATAGACCATTTTCAAGCACACCATCGCCACTAACAAGTGCGGAAGCACTCACGGGTAAAGTTGGTATGCCAGAGCAGCCAACGGCAAGAAGTATGCGGGCCTCACGCTTTACCGCTTGCGTCATTCCAGGACTTCTTAGAGACCTTGAATTTGGCTAGGTGCAACATATTACTGCGTAATTCAATTGCGAACTTCAGTGTTCAGCTGCGAGGGCTTCTCGACTATTTCCATCAGTCTCACTATAGGATTTTTTAAGTGGCTCAGAAGTGTCATCCCCCTTTTGTTTTCCTTTATGGCAAAAAATGAAATAAAATAGATACACTCTGTTGCCTATGAAACGCTCGAGCAGTCCTACATTTGGAACCAATGTCCACTGACACTGTCTACGAGTAGAATGTGAGGTTCTGATTTTGAAGAGTTCTATAGAAAGTATAGTCCGCATTTAATAAAATAAGATACAATCACTGAACGGCCGTGTGTGTTGCTTGCACCATATGTGATGATTTGATTTGTGGGGTTTAACGTCCCAAAACCACGATATGATTATGAGAGACGCCGTAGTGGAGGGCTTTGGAAATGTCGACCACCTGGGGTTCTTTAACGTGCACCCAAATCTGAGCACACGGGCCTACAACATTTCCGCCTCCATCGGAAATGCAGCCGCCGCAGCCGGGAATCGAACCCGCGACCTGCGGGTCAGCAGCAGAGTACCTTAGCCACTAGACCACCGCGGCGGGGCTTCCACCATATGTGTAACGAACGATACGTGTCTACTAACCTTCATTGGCACTATAACTACAAGTTGGGATTGTACTAGAGCAAATAAAAAGCAGGACAAAAAAGGGGATACAAATTCTCTTACATATATCAATTAATTCAAATATTTGTAGCTTCTTCATTATTCACGGGCAAAGTACATCCATATTTATCTTTCTTAGCCTTGCCAACCAATTTTTGCAGACAGATGCAACAATGCACAGGATCCCCTGCCTCTTTGAGGCAATCGATTTGTAGCTGGAAACTACTGCTCATTTTATGTGAGCAAGTTTTTTTTTTTGATGCCGTGTGTAGCATGACGTTACAATACCTCGTTTAGCAATATTCGAATGCTCTGACATGAAATTAAGACACTGGTTTCGATGAACCAGTCGTGCAACCTAAAATCAGGTACCAAGAAACAGCAAATTATCATAGCAAGGAACCTCACAAATAAATTCTAGTTCCGTTCCTTTTTAAACGCATTTAGAATGTGCTCACTTCTTTGCACAGTGCAAAGAAGTGAGCACTTGTGAATTAAAATAAAATAATCACTGTACCTAAACACTGTAAAACCTTTCTGCTGTTTTGTTAAACCCGATCATGGACAATTAATTGTTAATCGTTGAACAAGTAATCATTTATAATTATGGATTTGGTGTTCCAGCTCCCACTGCTCACGATAGCACGTTTTGACTTATGTATCGGCATGTGATCATTCATTCGCGTGCCGACTGTATCATTCCTTTAGCATTTAATGTGTAGATATACATGCAGGTGCGTTCAGACATGTATAGTATTTTGGATGTAATAGTCAACATTTGGGGATGCCTCTTAATTTTTCTTTTTTGTTCGGTGCTCCCACGGCACCAACGAGCAGCGGGTGATCGAAAACAGCTGGCGCGTTTGACCGATTCAACGTACACACTTTTCCCATAGTGCTTCCCATGCCTGCGAGGGCTCTGGGATTGCTTGAAAATGGTCTATTTGTTTTGCACTGAGGGGACTCGGCATGCTCATATGGTTCAGATGTGCTAAGGATATTTATGATTAAATTGACACTAGATAAAACTGGTATCCCATCTTGGTGAAGTGCTTATCCTTACCACTTTTTCTGTACAACTCGAGAGCTCTCCTAACTGGTATGTGGCACATTATATGAGCATTCGAGTTTTTCTTTAGAAGGGCTTGTATGCTAATTGTCACTATGTGATTGCGTCATTGTAACTGTTGTATTATATGTTGTATATTCTTTTTTCAATGTGCATTTTATGAAATGCCATAATCAAGGAAGTTAAGACATTTGCTTAGGGAGCATAGGGACTCGGGTTTAAATCGCACTAATAGAGTGAAAATTTGTTGTTGTTTTTTTCATTTGTATTTTTATGATTGTCCTAAGTCACAAAGTGACATATACTCTTTTCTTCTTGTCCTTGCATATAATTGCTAGTGCTTGAAGTTCGGTAAAATTATGATTTCAGCACTGCTCATTGTCGCTATGTTATTGCAACATTGCAACTATCATATTGTATGTGCTATTTTTTTTAATATGCATTTTATTAAATACCATAATCAAGGAAAGAAAAATGGGTTTGTAGCCCACTGGTTAAAGGGGTCCTGACAAAATTTTGTGGCTGAGACAGCCTGCAAGGTCGATTCCCGTGAGCATTTGTATATCATCTGCAAAATATCAACTGCAAATATAGGTTGGAAGGTATTTTAAATCGATTTTGGAAGTTTGCATCTTGCCACTGACACCCTCGAAGGGAAACCTTTGAAGACCCCCTACTTCCCTTCAGTCACCATGCTGCAGTCAATAAAACAAGTTATGATGACATCATAGCTGCCTTTTTTGTTGCGTTTGTTATCGGAGTCTATACTTCTTGGCGGCTGCTTGGGAGTGCTTCGCTGTGGCACACGCTTTGAAAGTTTTGTGTTTGGCGACATTGCAGTCAGGTTTACTATTCGAAAGTAATTCTTGATGTGGACTGTACAGAAGTGTGTCACAGTTCTTTGTGCTGACTTGATCAAGAGCTGCATACTCTAGGTAGCGATAGTTGCCCCTGGTGGCTTCTCGTTTTTTGGAGCTCTTTCAAACTGATACTGAAAGTGGTCAATTGTCAGGGGCCTGTAATTATCTGTCCCGTGCTGCAGCAAATTATGTGTCGTGTCATGACTAACAGGCCCCCAGCAACACATTGCAGCTGAAAAATGCGAGGCCAATGTTTTTGTGTCAGTACCCCTTTAAGGCATTTGTTTAAAAGCATGGGGGCTCAGGTTTAAACTGCAGTAATTGAATGAAAATTTTTGTGTTATGTTCATTCGTATTTTTATAGGGAGGACTGTTTTAATTCTCTTGTTGTTCTGGCATACAATTGCTACTGCTTGAAGTTCAGTGAAAAATGATTTTGCCGACAACACCTTACTAGTATTGGTGATTGAGTTTCATTGCTCTGGAACCTTGATGTTGTATTGCAAGTGTTGTGAAAAAAATGCACCAAGATAGATACAAAGGGAGTGTCTGCTGCTTACTTTTGTTGTACTTTTTGTACTAATAAACGTTTGTGTGACCTGATTGTGTGCTTTTGTTATATACATGCCTGAAACTGCCTCCACTGCTTATGGCCTTTGAATATTAATTCGGTGTTATATGCCAAAAATTTGCACTGCTCTATTTTCAGCTGTACCATTTAGATTGATGTAACTGCCTTATGTTTGCAATAATTGTACCAAGAAACATTTTTTCAGAAAAAAGGTCTAATCTATTGTAGTGTCCTTGAATAAAACTAGCTGTAATCACATTCAAGCAAAAACATTTTTGCACTGCTCTCACTATCCCGAGGCACGCAAAGCTGTGAATAAAGTTCCCTGTAGTGCATGCATGACAAAAGGATATAATGCTGTTTTTCGCAAGAGTAGCTCCATGCACATGAGCTGTGTAACTTAGTTTGTCTTTGCGGAACTTACGTGGCTTTCAAAACTTTAAAAAAATGCCATTAGTGTCATTTGGCCTGCTAGTGCCCACGAAGAACTAAAATGCCGAAGGGGCGCTCAACGGACTGACTAAAAACCTAGTAGATTGTGTGGTGGGCCAAAAAGTTGTACAATATATGCTAAAAGAGACTTGACAAGCACAAAATGAGATAAAAGCCGAACGGTTCGATGGATTCTGACATATGTCCTTAAAACAACATTAATAATTAGCACTTTCAGGTCATCTTAGCAGTGGTATAATAGACCCTTGGAATTTTTTAACATTTTGCAAGTAAATGAACGGAACAGTTCAAAGCGACTCCAAGTTTCTGACCAAACTGTGCATGCGAATTTCCAAGGGAAGCTTATGGCCCAACTAAAAGCAACCATTTTTGATTGAACCATTTGGCATTTGCACATTATTCAAATGGCCTAGTTGAAAAAAAGCCCATTTGGTCCACTTGGAAATGAGTAAACCCACTTGAACCATTTTCAATTAAATTGTTTCACATGGCTGAGTTAGAAATGGAAATTTCATTTGACCCAAATGCAAGTGAACAAATCCAATTGAACCATTTGGCAATTCATTTTTTTTCAGTTGGCCCTGTTGCAAATCCCATTTGGCCCAATTGGGAGTGAGCATATCCAATTGGCAATCCAAATGACCCAATTGGAAGTAGGCAAACCATTTGAAAATTCCAATTGGTCTTCTTGGTTATACCATTTGATCCTAGTGGACCAATTGGCAATTCCAATTGTTCCAAATGGCCCAATTGGAGATTCCATTTGGCCCAATTGGAAGTAGATGAACCATTTGAAGATTCCAATTGGTCCTGCTGGTTATACGAATTGGTCCAATTGGAAATGACTATTTCCATTTGGACCCATTGATATTTCCAATTGGTTCCAATTGTTTTTTTTAACTGGGCCCAAATCTGAGAACACGGGCCTACAACATTTCCGCCTCCATCGGAAATGCAGCCGGGATACAATCCCGCTACCTGCGGGTCAGCAGTCGAGTACCTTAGCAACTAGACCACCGCGGCGGGCGGTGCGGGGCAATGTTATCCATTTGGACTTTATACAGAACGTTACGGCGACACCGACGGCAAAATTGCGACTGCATTGTCCATATTGTCACAGGGTCGTGACGTGGACGAAGGCAGCAGACTGCAGGTCAAACAATAAGCTTTAATTGGGCTGAACCTGTAGCCACCTAAAAGGAATTAAGACACTAGCAGTGACAGCTGCGAACGGAACGTCGGCCGTCGATCAACTGACTATAGCGGCGAAGCGTGTCGGTATTTATACCTTTGCCATCGAATATTCTAGCGTTATCGCTAGCGGCGACGTATGTTCCTGAATAATCGGCAATGTTCACGAAGTGAACGTAATCTTAACAAAACGATCTACTACAGCCTTGAAGCTTGCCGAACATCGTAGGCGCGTTTTGCGCTGAACGTTATGTAACGGGTCGATAACAAAACTTGAGGAAAGGAACGTGGCAATATAATTGCTATCGCATAAGTAAACTCACAGTACCACCCAAAGGGCGAAACAATGGATTCAAAAGCAGCTATTGGAATGTCATGATGCGCAGAAAGTCTAGCAGCTCGACACTTGCAGGGGCTGGCTCACAAAAAGACGGACACGCAATGAGAACACGCTGTTGAACGCAGGACGAGCGCAAACAACCGTGACAAGTGTTCGTGGCGGTCCTTTGTGTAGTGTGTGCTTCTCGTGCGTCTTTTGTGTATCAGCATCTAGGGGCTAAGGTACTTGGCCGCTGACCAGCAGATCGTGGGATCGAATTCCGGCTGCATTTCCGATGGAGGCGGAAATGTACGCCCGTGTGCTCAGATTTTGGTGCACGTTAAAGAACCCCAGGTGGTCAAAATTTCCGGAGCCCTCCACTACGGCGTCTCTCATAATCATATTGTGGTTTTGGGACGTTAAACCCCACATATCAATCAATTTTGTGTATAGCTAATGTAAGTGTCGACTGCTTTAAACCAACTAGCCCATACTTTAGCTCACTCCTTTCGCAAACATGACCGCTGCAGTGAGTGAAGTGACTTTCATGCATCTACAGGTTTTCCCGCTCACTTTAATCCAAGTGCCAACCTAAATAATCTGCACGCCATTGAAATAATCTGAACGCCAAGCTATTTAATCCATGTGCCAAACATTTAATCCAAGCGCCAACTCACTCAGGCCGCGTGCCATTGAGTTCAATCCAAGTGCCACCGTATTTAATCCGATTGCCAATGAATTTAATTCAGGTGCCAGTCAGTTTAATCCACGCACAAAAACTAGAATACGGGGAGTAAAAACAGCAGTGCAATTGAAATGCAGTTCCTACAGTATTAAAGACAATAGTCGGAAGGTAGAATCAATCATTATTATTTGTATTCGCCGATAGTATTCTTGAAAAAAATTGCTGCCGTGGTTCGCTTAAGCCATGTTTGGAGTGCTTATACTTTGCTATGCGCAAGCTTGTATAATGAGTGCTTGGCCCAGGTGAAATAAATTTAATGAAAACGAAAAAAAAAAACGCAGGAACATATTACTGAATATTTTACAGTGCAATGAAATTCAGTATCCGTCACTGAAGCTCATAATTGGCTTTGGTACAGACTACAACATTACATGACCAGGACAGGTCATGTAATGCGAACGACACAGTATGTTTATTGGAGTGCCGGAACGCATACTAAGAGATTAAAAGCATGGTCGCGGGCAGTGATGGGTCAAAGACAGCTACATAATCAAGAAATTAGGAAGCCGTCACGCGGCACGCACTGTGAAATAGAGATGATTCCAATGTTTTTTTTTTCCTGTAGTGAACATAAAACGTAAACTGATCATCCTGATATGGCAATAGAAGTTTTATTTTACATTATTGTATGCTCTTATTTTTTTGTTCAAACAAAGTTAAATGTTAACACACGTATATGTGTGTGTGTGTGTGTGTGTGTGTGTGTGTGTGTGTGTGTGTGTGTGTGTGTGTGTGTGTGTGTGTGTGTGTGTGTGTGTGTGTGTGTGTGTGTGTGTGTGTGTGTGTGTAGAGATAGAGAGGGGGGGTACAGAACAAACAATTTAGTGATTGCACTGAATCCCGCAAGCTTCCAATGTGCGATGAGAGGCATAATGCCACGCAAAAAAAAAACGTACTCAAAAAAAAAAAGAAAGCTAGGCCCAAGGTCAGTTGCGTGTTATTATCATTTTGTTTCCTTTGTGTTCGTTTCATCGCATTCGTCAAGTACGTTACAAAACTAACAAGCTAAACGAACAATCAGTACTGTTCGTATCATTGGAGACATTTAATTTTGTTTGAACAAAAAAATAAGAGCATACAATAATGTAAAATAAAACTTCTATTGCCATATCAGGATGATCAGTTTACGTTTTATGTTCACTACAGGAAAAAAAACATATAGGAATCATCTCTATTTCACAGTGCGTGCCGTGTGACGGCTTCCTAATTTCTTGATTATGTAGCTGTCTTTGACCCATCACTGCCCGCGACCATGCTTTTAATCTCTTAGTATGCGTTCCGGCACTCCAATAAACATACTGTGTCGTTCACATTACATGACCTGTCCTGGTCATGTAATGTTGCAGTCTGTACCAAAGCCAATTATGAGCTTCAGTGACGGATACTGAATTTCATTGCACTGTAAAATATTCAGTAATATGTTCCTGCGTTTTTTTTTCGTTTTCATTAAATTTATTTCACCTGGGTCAAGCACTCATTATACAAACTTGCGCATAGCAAAGTATAAGCACTCCAAACATGGTTTAAGCGAACCACGGCAGCAATTTTTTTCAAGAATACTATCGGCGAATACAAATAATAATGATTGATTCTACCTTCCGACTATTGTCTTTGATACTGTAGAAACTGCATTTCAATTGCACTGCTGTTTTTACTCCCCGTATTCTAGTTTTTGTGCGTGGATTAAACTGACTGGCACCTGAATTAAAGTCATTGGCAATCGGATTAAATACGGTGGCACTTCGATTAAACTCAATGGCACGCGGCCTGAGTGAGTTGGCGCTTGGATTAAATATGTTGGCGCTTGGATTAAATGTTTGGCACATGGATTAAATAGCTCGGCGTTCAGATTATTTCAATGGCGTGCAGATGATTTAGGCTGGCACTTGGATTAAAGTGAGCGGGAAAACCTGTAGTTTCAACGCAAGGTATACCTAGGTAACCAACTTTATTGATTCGTGAAAGAATAATTTGAGAGGGTGTGTGTGTGGGGAAGTGGAAGCAGGATATGACGACGGGTCCTCGGGCTGCTCTAGGTAGCCGCGGACACCTCTGTACTTCAGCGACACCCTCTGGCCCATCTCACTGTCCGGAGCCGTAACCCCGGTTGCGAGCGGCGGAGAGTAGTCTTCCATCGCTCCTGGTGTACTAACCATTGCCACGGGGCCTTGGGTTAATTCGTTCGGGCAATTCAGAAATACGTGATTGAAGTCGGCTCTGGTCCTAGGACGTAAGTTGCAATGAGGAGAGGTTTCGCCATGCGTAAAAAGGGAGAGAAGGAAAAGAGTCGTGCCTGTGGCCGTTTGAAGTCTGCGCTACAAAAC